TGCAGCTGAAGATGATATTTTGGTTTTGTATTATTATCATTTTTTGCTGTTGTTCTAAAATTCAGCCAACAGAAGCTTCCATCTCCATTAGAAGTGCTTCTGCAAGAGTAAAGCATCTGATAACCTGGTGATAATGTCCCGTAACACAGCAACCAACAGTGTGTACAACAAATGTGGGATGACTTTTGTGATGAAGAGAAATAAAAATTGGGCTCATTCRTGAAATGGGCAGAATTTACCTTGTGGTGTCATCATCATTGTGATAACTGTTATGTGGGGAGAGACTTGAATTGCACCTGGCACAGAAAAAAGAAAAGCTAGTTTGATAGAAGTGTTGAGCTTTTGTCAGAGCCAGAGGAGAAAAAAAAAAAAGACTTTATGGCCAACCAAAAACCTAATGATTTTTGAGAAGAACTTCCTTACACAGCRCATTTTTCATTTTAAAACTTGTTTTAAGTATAAGACGGTCAGGGGAGGGAAAATCATGTAATTACTTTTAATAGATTTTGACAGGCTCTACTCAAAGCTAAATTGAGGAGCCAATTTCCTCTCATTACTGCATCCTTGTCAACTCCACAGGGGCCTTTTTTTTTTTATTTCCAGGAGATTCTCCTTGCTATTATTTTCCCAAATTTCCATTTGGAACCATTCTTAGTTTTGTGGTTAAAGCATCCAAGGAGCAGCTATAGCTGTTGATTGCAGAAGGAGCAGAGGGAACCAAGGGGAAAGGATTTGGGAGCTGAGGAATTGGGGTGAAAGAACTGACATGGATCCATGGGAGCTGGACCCCTGTGCTCATCAGCTCCACACCAAACCCTGTAACTGGTGTTCCCTTTTGTGGCTTCTTCCCAAAGTTTCTTCATGAGAGCAGCTTCCTGGCTTAAGAGGAATAAAAATGCAATGATTCTTCCCACAAAATTGGAAGTGAACTTTACACCATGGCCAGGCAGCTCTGTTGAGCTTTGCAGTGTGCTCCAAGTGAGGCTGTGTTGCAGCTCTGTGGGTCCATCCTGCTCTGCAGGAGTGTTTGATGGTCTGAAGTTGCCCAATRTTTACTGATTTCAACATGGTTCTGCAATGGGGAATGGCAGAGAGGAGAGCCAGGATTTCCTTCCTGCCTCAGCCACTGCTGCTGAACGGGTTGATTGGGGTTTCATCCTTTCCCATCAAGATTTCTCTACTTTTTAAATTCCTCCATTCCTTTTTTTTGTTGTTTGTTTTTTAACTAATTTTAGCTGCTGTGCCATGGACACCCCAGTTCTCACACCAGCCCTGTGAAGTGCTGAGAGCTCACATGGTCTCACCTGGAGACAGAAGCAATTCTTGCTTTGAGGATCAGGGTCCCAGACTCTGAATTTTGAACAACCARCCCTAAGGGAGCAATATCAAAGATACAGGCCCCTATCTTTCTTCCTAATACTCTTAAACATGTTTACATCTTCAGATGAAAGTCACTTCACCAATGCAGAGAACAGCTAATTAATGATTGTTTTATTCTTTCAAAAGCTTAACAAAATTACCCTTTCTGTGACCCCCTCTGCAAGTCAGGAGTGCCTTTCCAATCTAGCTTTGCTTGATTTAGAGTTCTGATGCAAACGCCTCCAGATAAGGAGTCTGCAAACAAAYGATCTGCTGATTACGTGTCACTCACCCACTGCTGTCCATCACCAGCCCACCCCTCCTGCTCTGCCAGCTTGTGGCTTTGCGGGCCCACAGTGACCTGGATGGCTGAACTGATCTGGATAAAGGATTTGGCAATCCTGGGAGAAAGCTGGGATGTGTTTTATGGCCTCATGACCCTGAATGACTCAGCAGCTCAGCACAGAGCCACAGGTTGTGTACCAGCATGGGGAGGGCAGGACTGCAAGGGTTGGAACCCACCAGGGGTGTGACAGGCTTGGGAACTGTCCCTGTTGGTGCTGTGGCACCAAATGACAGCCTCAGCCACTGCAGACATGATTACCTTGAGACAGACAGAATTAAAGGCTGTCTGCTCAACAAAGTTCAGTATTTCAAACTTTGGGCATCCTTTCATGTACAGCTGCAATCATCCAACACCAGACAATTCCCTTAACCCCCACCCTATCAAATCAGTACCAGAAAAAGGATTCACCCTCTCTTTGAAGCAGCAGACAGCTCCTTGGAGCCCTAAAAGTGTACAAAGCCAGAGCAGAATATTACAAAGCTGTTCAGAAAGTTTCCACAGAAACAGACATCTGAGGGCCAAAGTTTCCACCACCTGTTAGCAGGATGCTTTCCCCCATTATTTCAACAGAGGACAATTGATACTCAGTACTTTTCCATCATTTTTTTCCAGAGCAGAAGAGATGAGCAGACAAGAGCAGGGGAAAGAACAGCCTTTGGATGTTGCTAAAGAGATTATTTGCATGCAAAGCTGCCTTGTTCTGCCCCCCAGATTCCTGTCAAGGTTTTGGCCTGGAAACTAGTATTTCAGGAGGAACTGCATGGTTGGAAGATGAGCTGCTAAGGAAGACTCCCTGATTTCTGATGAGTTATTTCTGAGGCAGCATCTGATGYGAGTATCAACCCCGTGAGGTCATAGCTTGGAGCTAAATTCCCTTAATTACAGCCTTCCCATTAAAATGAGGATATGAAGCAATAAAAGAGGCATTGGCTGCATCCCTCCTTTATTGCTATCAGTCTCAACCTGCCCTTGACTAAGCACAGAAGGCTCCACGCCAATCCCACTGGCTCTCGCTCCCATTTTGCCATTCCAGCCTTGCCAAATCCATCAAATGCAGCTCCTGTGACTCTGTGATTTTAGACTGCACCCCTGCAGTCCCTGTGCCAGAGAGAAGGAAATCCATGACACACTGGTACCTGTGGCTGACTGAAGCTTGTCCCACTCTGGTGTCACCCAGGCACGCTCCTTCCCCCGTGTGTGATAGAGTCAGCTCACACTGCAGTGTCCCCTYCTTTTGGGGACATCTTCCCTGTCATGTCTCTCTTTCCAGGACTTAGAAAGGCTTCTTTTGGAGCTCTCACCCCTTGTCAAATGTGGCAAAAGTGGTCCACAGGTTCAATATCTTTGGGGAGGAAAAGAAGTACGTGGATAAACACATGTGGATGTGCTCATATTCCCCTTTTCTTTAGGAAACCAAGCTGACAGAGRAGGATAAAGCTGTGCTCCCAAAGWGCTTTTTGCTTTTGACTGCTCCATGCTGTGGCACTAATGGATGAGGCTGCACCATGACCAAAAGGATTATTTTAACCCAAATCTCTTCCATAAAAGTTTGCTGCCTCCTTCACACCTCTTCCTGCACAGTGAGCACAGATGCCAACAACATCACCCGAAAAAGCTTGGAAATTATTTTGGACACAGTTACCACACCACAGCCATGAGCAAGACCTCAGGGTGCTGGAAAAGGTCCAGCAAAGGGGAGAGCCTCAGAGTGCCCCAAGGAYCAGAGTGAACAGGCAGAGCCCCCTGTGAGGGGACAG